ATGTATGGTATAAAACTAAAAACACAAATCTTTATGTGGAGTATATGGGGATTTTGGGAAGGTTTCAATCGATTCATTCATCTTTGCATTTATCTTGAGTTTCACTGACATATTTCTATATTGAACCATATGTTTGATATAAATTCAACTCAAGGCACATATAATCTAACGATATACGATTATTGTTAGTTGATCGACACTGAGAAATTTTTGCTCTATGATAAACTCAATTTATTTCTTATATAATAATAATAATTTTGCCGAAACAATGTTTAAAACATGGAATTTACAGTTGTCTACAAACGTTGATTACACACCGAAGCCTCACCTCCTCGACGATTTTGACGTACAGGAAGAAAAATATTTTAATGATTTGTTGTCTAAAACATTGAATATATGTATATGTATGTATTGTCTAATCTTGAACAACATTCAGATATATTTTTTCGCTTTAATTGCATCAATGAATGTTCTGAAAGCTTGTTTATATTAGTTGTGGGAATACGCTTAATTTAGATGATAATGATAATGCGTCCTGGAACAAAATTCTTAATTCACCATTGTATACATACATGCATATATACTTATGTACATATAGTATATCGTAGACCTATTTAAAGCTTAAACTTGAAAGCAATATGCTAATAAAACGACCTCATTTGAACACTATGAACATTTCAAATTCTGTTTACTAACATTACTTATATATATATATATATGTTTTTAGAATACATACTTTTTATGTGTGTAAGTATGTAGGCAAAAATATGAATATATTTATGTCATTATTCGGCTATATGGCAGTATATGGTTGAGAATGGCGATCCTTTGTACATATTGCAGTGCCTTTTATTATTCGCAATTCTCCTTTTTTGCGCTCATAAACATTTCTTTTTATGGTTGCTTTTATCAGCAATTGTAACCCACTAACGCTTATACCACCCCTAATTCAGATATGAGGGTGGCAATACATGAAAACCAACATACAATGGCCGATGAGTTTTAGTATCATATTTTGGGTTCAATGTTTTATGACGCATATTTTTAGTGGAACCATATTTTGATTCTGTCATTTCCGCAATAATTCTGTACTTGTATATTATTATTTATTTGATGTAAGATAAATAACATACAATGTTATAAAAATAAATACGTACTATAGATACTGTACTGTGCGGGTAGTTTCAGGCTTTAATAATTATTCTATCTAGGCACATATATGTATATATGTATACTTTAATACATAGGATATTTATACAAGTTAACCTATCGAAAACTTAATAAACCGTATGAATTATGTTTTAAAAAAACTTTTTGCGGTTATAGGAAAGCAGATAAATAAATTAATTATTTAACTTATTATAAAATAATTTGGAAGAACATATACATATGTAATATAATCCCGAAAATTTTTTGTAGATAACAACTGTTCGCTTAAAATTTTTTGTTAAATTCAATTTCCTAATATATCACACCAAATCAAAATACCAACTATAACTTTATAAAAGACGTAATAATGAAACTAAAACCTAATTATGCTTTTCAATAAAAGAAGGTTGTATGCAAAAAAAAAAGTTAGAGCCATATACTTCATATGAAATGTCACTATATCATGCTTTCATGATAGATTTTTTTTTTTTAGCTACTGGAGAAAGTGAAATAATATATAAGTACTTTTAATATATTTATTACATTAAAAAATTATTTAATTTTTGCTTTTAAATTCAGAATCAATTGCAATTCGACTTGTTTTAAATTAAGAAAATATGGTATTTTTATTCGAACACAGCAAGGAAATAAATTTTTGCTAATTTTAATATAAAGCCTAAATACATATGTATGTATGTATGCTTGACATATATATAAATGACATAAATTCATAGCACCATCACAGCCGGACCAGATTATGCAGCTCATAAGAGCCTGCAATCGGAGTTTGTTTACGAAAGGGGCGGAAACTTGTCAAGACCTTCGATTAACCCGTAGCAGAATCTGGCGTGGAGAACAAAATGGTCACGATGTAGATTCTGCTGTTACTTACAAAGGAGTCCATCGAATAGTTAATTTAATAAATTAATTAATCTATATTACAGCAAACTAGCTTCATTAGCCCTAGTTAACCGCGTGGCAATAGAACAGCCTGAGTTTGCTCTCATTCAGGAGTCCTGAGTAATGGAGGATGTATTTGCGGATTAAGGAACCGAACTACAATACCGAGGCGTGTTATCCCCACTTCTCTGGATCCTGACAATGAATAAGTTGAAGACATCCAATACTGTGCAATTATTTTCCTAAGCCGAGACGCTTCCGCCGTATTCTCGATATCATTGCAAAAAATTTCAAAGAATTTCTTTTTGTTCTCCTAACCTTCTTTTTGTATGACTTTAGGAGGTTGTAATAATTATCCCAATCTCGCCTTGGGACCGCTCTCAGACTGAGGGAATCCTTTCAATTAGCCGCTTGCAATAAGGGACATTCTAAGATACTTAGTATGTTCCGTTTCTACCCACTACCACGGATTTTCGTAATCCAATAGAATTGAAACTTAACTCAGTCTTCAATATTTCCTTTCCTCCCAGAGAAGAGTGGAAAAGTGACGAGGTGGACAGGAATGCAAGGATTTGCATCTATACTGATGGGTCCAAACTAGATAATTGAGTGGGAGGTGGTGTCTTTTCAGCAAAATTAGAATAGCCAAGCGGCTTTGAAATCACTGAATTCTCCTATGGTGAATAGTGATATGCCTGGTTACTGCGAAGCAGATTAACTAGCCGGAACTGGCACCACTCTACTATTAGCCTCTGGCCATTTGTAAATATTTAATTATACTGAAGTAGAACATTAGTCCCGGTGGTATCACAATGGGCCTCCTATCGACCTAGATGCGTCGTTAGACAGCCACTCTACATACTTACCTACCTTATAAGCTTTGGTTGCGATGGCCCTCAGTGCCTTCAGCGAATTTTGAGTTTTATTTATATATCCACCTATATGTATATGGGGTAAACTCCTACACTACCGAACCGATTTGAGCAAAATTTAGCACACTGTGTACAGTTTGATCCAGCTGTAGGATAGTCTATATCTAAATTGGGTTAAGAGTATTTTCCATTTTTTCTCATGAGCTCATAAAATGTATACATATGTTAATTTTAAATTGAGAAAAATAAAAACAACTTTTTCTTCATTAATATTTCATAAATACTTCAAATGCTTGTTATTTTTTTAAATACACGTAACAATGTATAAAAACGTTCAATATAAATAATATTATATAAATTGTTCACAAAAACATTTTATGTTTCCAAGGCTTTATGCGAAATACTTACATATGCGAGCCACTACAATTTATCATGTTTAAGGTCTGTTTATACTCATACAGAGTATGTACATACATACATATGTGTGTATATGTAAGTAAGCAAATGTTTTGTACGTAATTTTTGATTATTTAATTGTATGTCTGATTTAATTCTCGTACGTCTGAACATACACACATATGTATGTACGCATGCACATAAAAGTATATGTTAGGTATATAAGATAATATATTGTTAACATACATATGTACGTTTGTGATACCACCAAATGCATCCGCGATGGATACCTATGTGAATTTTACGCGCCAAACCATTATAACAAGGTATTACACAACTGAAGCTTAGATCTATCCAATTCGATCCTTTCCTTAATAGTTGTTTGTTGCGTTTTCATTTCTACGCTAATCTCGGTTCGAGACAAAACACAAACTTCACACTTAGTAACCCCTGTGGCGAGGATTTCGTTGAAGAATTACAAAAAAAATTTATACAAAAAAGATCAATATATGCATGTAGGTACGAGTGTATTTGCATTAAAGTGAGCATTTTGATTATGTTTAAAAATCAGAACTATTGAAAACATTTTGCAGGGCCAGAAGGCCGACTGGACACACTTAGGGTTCAGATAACGGTCAACTGAATGGGTTTGCGATGGCAGGAGTGCATGACCCCTTGTCAACGAAATGACAATAAAAGCAGAAATAATGTGACCTTATAAATTTCCGCAACTTCGCACCAATTGCTGCGAAATCGGGGTCAGCCGTGGCGAGAAACACAAAGAGAAAAATTAAACATTTAACAAAAATTCAAATGATCCTTTCACTAAACTTTTAACATTTATTTTACTTTATGTCCAAGGGTGTGTAAGCATGTTTATATGAATGTATGTGTGCATGTACGTATGTATATGATCCTACACGTTCTCAGGGGTCACGTATAAGAAATTGCACAAGAAATTTAGCAATTTAGGGGTGGAAATTAACGGATGATCATAATGCAACTGCCACAGCCGCAATTGTTGTGCCATATCTGGTGGAGAGTACCCGGTTAGCTGGCGCTCGATTTTAAATTTATTACCTTTTGCTGATTTAACTGTGTCCACTTATGTATATATATATTTACGATCCCTTAGTTATGCTGATGGCAGTTGTAGGAGCTGTGAAACTTCTATGGCTGTTGTCAAAAATTTTACCAGAATCAAAAATATTTGTTATATACTTACATATGCATTCTACGTTTTGATACATTAACATTTTTGATCCCGAAATACACACATATTTACACAGAGCGGACATAAAATATTATGTATATACACATACATAAATAGGTGCGATTGCAAATGGTAATGCGTTCATTTACGAGTATATACGAGGGATCTTATTAAATAGATTTTTCAAAAACGAATAATCTAAATTGATTTACACATTTTGCCCAATTAAAATCCGTGACCTCTACGAAAATAACAGTTTCTAAACTCTGTTATTTTTCCCATATGATTTATTGCAAATCTCATTTATTTGAAAAAACCTTGACCGTTATTTCTTAAACTCTGCCCTTCGTTGTTTTATTATAAAAAAATATTTTATGCGTCTCCCAATAAAAGATGGAAGTCGATTCTCTTACCATTGAACCCTTAAAACTGATTTACAAACTTTTTAAGTTATGTTAATATTTTAGTCGATACTTCCTAAGTACATATACATATGTATGTTAGTTTATTTATACATTTATACATTTTTTTTATTATTTATGTATGTATATATTAGAGATATCTCATATATATATTATATCATATAGTGCTGGTATTGTGGAAAGCTGTAGTTTTTGCTAACATAAATATTCTCATCAAATTCTTTCTTTCCTTCAATTTTTTTCCATAAACCAAGAATTCTGCTCTTTTATTTTTTATTTCGCTTCGATTACAGTTATCTCTTCCCTGTATTTCTGAAAACATAAGAAAATCATTATATTATAGTTAATAGGTAAGATGAATAGACAACTAGCTTATGTAATTGAGCTATCATTTTGGCTACTTATCACACTATTAATTTATCATAACATGCTACAACAGAGTATACTAGTAATGTTCACCTTACGGTTGCTTGTGTAACCTAAAACTAAAAGTTATAGGTATCATACATATATATAATACAATATATAAACGATCAGGGTTCCGTTTGTCTGTCTGTGTAAGCGAAACCTTAAGTAAAATATAAGATATATTTATGAAACTTGGTACATTTGTTTCTTGGCGCTTTAGGGAAGTTGGTATTGTAGTTGGGCGGAATTAGACTATTTCCACGCCCACAAAATGCTGTTAATCTAAAATTTAGTTAGCATATCTCACAAACCACTTGCGTTATTTCAACAACACTTGCTGAGAAAAAGAATTTTTAGCCCCTCTCCATATGCGCTGAAAAAAGGTTAAATCAGATAATAACCATGCCCAATTAACGGTTAAGGTAAAAACTTCTAAAAGTTCGAAAACTCACTAAATAAATACGTCAGACACATTAAAGTTAGGTAAGAGAGGGCTTCATAGAAGTCGGTATAAAAGTTGAACAATATGCGTGGCCACGCCCACTTTCCATTTACCAGAATCTTAAATTCCATATGATTCATGCACTTTTCAGTACATAAATGGTGAGCTAATCACGTTATCGAAATAAAACTGAAAATAGTGTGAGTATTAAATGTTCGGTTACATCCAACATAACTTAAGCATCCTTACTTGTTTAATATTAGGTGTAGTAAAAAGAAATCCACTATTTGTCCAATAGATGGCGTTATTAATATGTATCTCGGCTATATGGCGTTAGAAAGATGCCATTTCGTACTAAAAAAACAGTTATGTAATTCGTGGATTCAGTTTTGTTTGAGCGCGCGTCAAAGATGAACACTAGCAAAGAGAAAATACAGTTTTTCTTCGATAAGGGCAAAAACGCAAGTTAGGCGGCTGAATGTGAAAAGCGTTTATGGTCCTGATACTGTAACAGCCAATCATGCCCAATTGTGGTTTTGTCGATTCCGTTCCGGTAATTTCGATGCCAAAGATGCGCCACGCTCTGGAAGACCAACTATTGGAAAAATCGATCAAAAAATGGAAATCGCCAAGTCCAAACATCGATTACGATTGTCCAGGACCTAAACATTGCACGAAAAACCGTTTGGAATCATTTGAATACGGCTGGATACGAAAAGTAATAATTAAAGCATTCAATTTCATGCAAAAATAATGGATTTCTTATTACTACACCAAGATAAAGTTGTACTGACACCTAAAGGTATTTTTCTGGGTTTGATCCTTCAAAATTCTTTCCAATTAATTTAAAATAATTTGCCTCCATTAAACAATTGCAATACAATAAACAATATAATAGCAATACTTATGTAAGCATGTTTGTACTTTTAGCGTATAACATATATTCTTATATTCACTAATCTAATAATTCATTTCCAATATTTGCATTTTATATGCGAACTGTAAGAAAATATTCAAATATGAATTCGCAACATTTTTTATGGTGGTAAACCGTAATCTTATTTTCTTTTCAAGAGATAAATTTGCAGATGTGATGAAATCGGTATAAACATTGTTGATATCTCCATATCTTTGTTCTCTTTTAAAGTCTCAAAAAAATAAAACACATAGTTTTTACACACATATACCTTCATTACATTTAGGTATGTACGTATATACATACTTACATCTATGCATGTGTTTGGCACACGCTGTTACGCTTGAGAAAAATAGTTCCAATGAAGTAATCCGATTTTGCAGATAAGACTTTTACAACTATACCCATATAATTGATGTTTGGTAGTTATTCAAAATCAGGTCATATTTGTGACTTCTGAAATAAAGATATATAAATTTTAATAAATTTAATAAATACATACAGGAATTCACCCATAAGTACGTGCATGTTAAGCGACTTTTCGGCACTGGTTTAGCTACTTAATTAAAAAATATTGTTTGCAGTCTGTTTTTTACTTTTTTGCGGTTTACGTAGGTAAATAATTTTCCTTTTCTGAAGACGTGTAAAAAACGAAACTTTAGAATGATTATTACATTTAGTCAGTATATACCAGTTTATGTTGCGAAATCGTGAATGAATTACAATACAATCAAATTGGGTACATAATTAGTTTTATAATTATATTTTCACTCCTGTCAGCGATAATTATAGTAAAATTATCCTGAAATGAGACATATTTGACCTAAATTCAACAGAAGAAACATTGAGTTAATGCGCAATTAGTATATAGTATAAGTATATCCAATATTTTACATTCAATTAAATTTACTAAGATATCTTACATATTGTCCGATATATATCTTTTATTAAGTATGTACGAGATAGGTGTAGTATCGATCCGATTTTATCTATATTTGGCATTACTACATACAAGTATAATATTATTAACAGAAATAGATGCTCTCTGAGTTTCATTAAGGTACCTCAACAATATATAAGGAATAAAGTCCGGATGTTTGAAAATCCTGATATAAGTTATATATGTGGCTTAGGGCAAGTTTTCTTCCGATATCTATTTTAGGCACAAAGATCAATGTTAGAAGAAGACCACGCTCACTCAATTTAATTAAGATAACTCTCATATTGGCCGATATATGGGGTATAAAGTCAGCTGGAAGTTCGAAAATCCTTAGGGATTTACTTCTAGGGGAAATATCGACCCACCTCTACCTATTTTTGATATGCAGACATTCTCTTTCAATTTAATTTATATTGTATATCTCACACATTGACCAATATTTTCGGTAAAAAGTCAGCCATAGGCTCTGAGGTCCACATTTCTGAAATCTGGGGGTTTGAATAGTTATGGTCCAGTTTTGACAATTTATAGATCTGAGATGGCATATATTAAAGGTACTATTCGTGCAAAATTTTATCCCGATATATTAATTACTTGTCCTTCTGATTCGCCTAGGGAACATGTGTACAAAGTTTCATGACGATATCTCAATTTTTACACATCTCGATTAATTTTAGGTGATACAAACAACCGTTAGGTGAACAAAACTATTATACTCTAGCAACAATTTTGCAAGAGTATAAAAATATATGAAGGCTTACTTGAAGCCTTTTAAAGTTTTGAACAGCACTTTGTAAGCATTTAACATTTCTTTATTTGTTACGGTTTAGTCGCCACTTGGACAACCGAGGCAGAGCAAATTGAAACATGCAAATACAGCTTTATTAAATGTTTCTGTTAATTTTTGCATTTGCAAATTATGCTCCTTCCATTTATTGTGATCAACAAAAGCACATGTAAGTATTATATGCTCACAAATAGTGTGGAAAAATGGTTTTAACTGATTTTATTTTTTTGGAATGGAATTTTTGGAATTTCAATAGTCTTAAAAAATACGACACTTGTGAGCACCCCTTAATCGTTGTATGTCATATTGTGTAATATTTCTACACTTCACCAGCTGATAGTGAAAAATTAAGAATACAAAAATGGCACGAGCAATTGAAAAAAAATAAAATTATAGCTTATTTATGTGAAAACTTTCTTTATGTTTAACGGCGGCGTTTTGGTTTACACTGCAATAAAATAATTTAATAATTCACAGAAAAAACAAAATATTTTTATATATCACTTTTCTTCAACTTCAGGTAAACTAAAAATGTATAAATGGAATTTATTTAATTTATTAATTTTAGACACTTAAACGTCAAAAATAAAAAAAGTAAACAGATATAGCTGATAGAATAGCACACTCAAAAACCAGACTCTGAGTGTTGTATTTGTCGTATTTAAATTTGGTATGGAAAACAACAACAGTGTTGATGACAGTCAATACCCTAAATAAAATTTAGTTATTTTTTGCGAAAGAGTGAATGCATAATAAAATGGAGTATTGATTTACACTACATCAACGAAATTGTTGAGACTCAAACTGATGTGCGCCGCATATGTACCTAGAAGGCTGTCACTCAAATCCCGTGGAAATTCCAAGCAACAAGTGGCTTGTTGTTGATTGTAGACTCATGAGTTATTTTCCTTTAAATCTAAATAAAATGAAGGAACATTTCCACAAAGCATAGTTATTAAGGGCCACAGGTTATACCCTATAAACTAAATAACTATATAACATACTAAAGTCTTGACTATCTCAAATAGTTTTTGAGTTACATTTTTCTAAAGTCTAGTCGCTCAGTTCAATCAGTTTAATCAGCTCCATCAGTTTATCTTTAAACATGTCTGTGTTCTCAAAACTAAATTGATATATAATATGAATGGGTGATTACTCCGAGACAAATGATCCGATCACTAACTTTTTTTTCTGCATGTTCTGTGTATAGTTTGCACACAATGACCTACCAGTATTTTCACCTGAAGTTGGGCAGGCCAGTAACGACCAAAATGTTGGGTAAAATTCAACTTAAAGAAAAAGCCGCCACGGGCACATCGCATTGTGCAGCAATATATTCTAGTAGACATTTATTTTTTTAGGTTTCATTCAAGGAGAAGGCGGGGGAAGACCCTTTTTTAGCACCGTCGGAGATGGAGTGTAACACTAAAAGTATTTAATTTTTTTCTAAAGTTTTCTGTATATTCTTAAAATATGTATAATATCGTATAATGCTGGAATATTAACTACATTGTCTAATCGTATTGGGGATGTAACTTTTTTGTTGGCAATTGCTTGAATATTAAATTATGGTAGCCGAAATTATATTTTTTATTTGAAAGTTATTAAACTTTAAACCTATAAAATTAGATATAGCAGTTTTTGAATTCCCAAAATCTGACTTTTTAGGTTGTCACATAAGGTGCGCCCTTAAGAAGGTTGTAAATATTATAGAATAGCGTATACGGTAAAGTGGAGCTTCAGTAATATCATTTTACTCAAAAAGTGCATTCGCCTCACTGATTCCACATTGCTGCTTGCCTCTTCCAATTTCGAAACTTTTCTCCATCAGCTCAGCAATTTTTTTAAATAAAAAAAAGGAAATTGTGGTAGCTGAAATTATTTAAACACATATATGGTAGCTAATGAAGTTTTTAGATTAATCTGCAAAGTCTGTTTAAATATACATTCGAATATAAATATGGTTGAAATATGTAACAAACTTTGATATTTGTGTTTGTGTGTATGTATGTAAGTATGTCCAATGGTACTAAATTAAATATGCGATACACTAATTTAGAACAAGGATAAATCAACCTAAGAACCTTTGTAAAAACGAATCCTCCAGGAAAGTTTAAACCAGGACAGTATTTTAAAAGTGCGAAAACAAATAAAAATATCCTTTTTTGTTCCGAAAAGCATTCCGAGAAATTCTGTAAGGGATTAAGCATAGAGTCATGGTAACATACAAGTAGTACACGAAAAAACTAGAAACTGGAGCGGTCAAGCATTGTTTTTCTTACAATGACGAATAATGACGAAAGGTTCAAGTGAAATGCATCTTCACGTCGGGTCATTGCTCTACTTTTCATTGTGATTTTAATGATCGGGGGCACGAAATGGGAAATGATAGCGTGAAGGTCGAGTTTTATGTGTTTGTTACACGGTTAAAAGTTTCGCTTAACGTCTGGCGTGCGTTCGTGCATATTTGACCGATGATGATAAAGATAATGCGACAGCGACAGGTAACACCGGGCCACAGACAAGAACGTTAACTATAAGGAAAGGCCGGCACATTTGCATATCTTACTATGTCCACACTTCGCTACAGTGATGAATGTGCCTACCATTAGCATACGTAAACCACCAACCGCTGGCCGCTATCCGCCGTGCAAATATTATTGTAGCACATTAGTATAGGTAAAAGAGTCTTGCAAATACTTTGGACGGTCATGGGAAAGTGAAGATAAACCAGAACAGTTTTTAATAAAGAAGAATGGTTTTTGCAAATAATTTCATACTTTAATCTTTATTTAGCTATTAGGTATGTTTTGACGACTTTATCCGATATCTGTTCTGCATGTATTTGTGTATGTACGTGTGTATCTGCATAGATAGTTTGTAGAAAGCATAGTTAGCAAATAAGAGCACTTATGCCTAAACTATATGTACATATGTATATAGTATGCATGGCCACTCGCGGGCAAAAATAAGCCGACTATTATTGTCATCTAATATAATCGTCATTGTTAAAAATTTTGTTTGCTACTTCTTCGACTAGCGATGTAAAGTAACAACACACCCGCAAGAATAGCACATATATGTACATAGTAATAAATTCAAGACCCTCAAAGGACACGCTCTACATATTAAATGAACGTACTATTACTAGTTATTCTTACATTAAAGGAAACAATGGTTTTAGAGGTTTTCAGGTTTACATGCTTATTGCGAGCATATTAGCAACAAATTCAGATCTAAGGGTGTGTGTACGCAACGATTTACTTAAATGTACGCTTAAGCACTTAAATAGTGCTGATTATGTGAATATCGTTTTTTAACTATCCTTGGATACTGCTTCCATGAATCCTATTGCTTTGCTATTTTTAACAAAGAAAAATCCCATTCAAATATGAATGCGAAGGTTTTTCCTTTTTAACCCTTTCCGGCGTTCAGTAAAAAGAACAATAAACAACAGGTGACCCTGCACTTTTACCAAAATCCATTAAGTGGTGTCTGCCCGTGAATATTTTCTATGTTCATGGTTTCTTTGTGGCTTTATATTCCATTTTCGAAAGCGGTCGAACTAAAGGATACTAATTTTAACTCTTTCGGGTGTTAACGGTTCGACCATAACAAGTACATTTTTTTTCGTTGAAAAAGTTCAAATTTCAGAGGCAGAAATCCGTTTCATGCCAGTTAAACAAAAGTTGTGTTTTTTGCTCTGAAGTAAGCATACATTTGTACATACTTACATATGCATATTGATAGAAAGGAGTAGTGATAAACTTACATATATCCCGTTTATCTTTATTGCTTTTTCGGATCACTCTACATACTACTGGATCATCCTACTAACCTTACTACATTTACATATTCCTAATCAGATAATGAAAATTTACTAAAGTCACAAGAATTGCAAGTTTTTATGCATATTGTAAAAAATCTAAATATTGAATATTAATTTGATAGTCATAAGTATGCCTTTATAATTATACTTGTACATATGTATGTATACTCGTACCATAAAAGAGACTTACAGATAGATAATCCAAAAATTGCACTTATCTAACGAGTATGCATAAAAAACATATAGTCATTATACACAGATATGTACATATGTATATAAAGATGTAAATAATAACATCGTATGAGGGAGGGAAATTGAGAGAGAGCAAAAATATACTGAATACAAACACTTCTAACTTCATATCTGCAAAGGAGAGCCGAATGACACACGATTACTGGTATACTATTCTGTGGAACGAATAGAAATTGAGAAAGGAATAGGGATAGTTAATATAATCATATATTGCAAAAGAGAGTACAGTGCACTATTTTCAAAGAAGCTAAAAGAAGACTAAAGCATTATTAAATAAAATTAGAAAATTGACTTTTTTACATCTGTCACAAAGTTTCTCATTCAAATAATAAGGAGACCTCCCACTCTTATTAAACTTCAAAATAATAGAATAAAAAATTACAATAAGTATAATAGATTGGCTTTACGAAAATTTTTAAAAATTTATTACGTTCATGCCTTGATACTAAAAATCGTTCGAAAGAGTTCTGTCATTTTAAATATTTTACAGGATTTTGGTATAATATTTAACAAGTTGTTGAGCTTTCTTATATAAACTGAGATATTGATGTAGTATATCACGATAAGCAAAAAATTTGTCTAACTTTCGCGAAAGGTTTTAATTGTGCATATTTTGTAGGTTTTGGAGATGGTTTAATATTCTGCCATTCATCTCCTTCAATTAGAAAAATAACACTGATTTTATTTTTATGTGATTTTATTATTCCTTGATACACTGTATCGAATGGAAATGCATTCGCCATGCAATGGACTGCCAAACTAGAAACCTACCTGAAATTTCTCTCCCAAATGTATCAATGCAGCATCTGTGCAGACGACTGTATTGTTGGGAGTCTGCTTATGTGTGAGTATGCATTTGACATTTACGCATTTATACTTTTCAAAACAGAATTCTGAAATTATTTTCATGTCTACAATTTGCGGCACTGAGCATCTAATCAGTTAGTTGTGCTCAGAGCCTCGATGCAAGAAGGATTCGCGTCATCCGCAATCTTCCAATTGGTTAAGACTTTATAAACACTTGAAACTGATTATAATGAAAACTATTATTAATACAGGCGAAATGTAAATTGACGAAAAAACATAAAATATTTAATTTTTAGCGTGTGAGTTAATATTGTAATTGTTGAATATACTTTTATTTTATTTAAACTATTGTGAAACTGTATCAAAGAAGAACGTGTTTTCAATTTCTGCTCATGCGTAATTTTCGAAACAGATATTGTATAGAGGCTAAAAAGTGGCGCGTGTCATTCGTAGTGTGAAAATCGTGAATCGGGTAAATTGGAAGTTGCAAATGCCCCACATCACGCTACCCTCCGAAAATAATAAAAATTAGGTTCGTCAAATTGCCACAATTTTTAATATTGCAGCAAATAGAGTATTCCTCAATAACTTATTATATCGCCGTATTGAACAAACTGAATGCAACAATTTTACTTTGCTGGAGTATACAAATAGAATTCACTATCAGCCGACAAGATTTGCAGGTAAATATTGTTTATATATATATATATATATATATATAAACGACTCTTAAACATATGTATGAGTTCAAGATATATGAAATATTATGCTTTAAGATTCCTGCATCTAACTAACAATAAATCAACAAAATAATTGCTTCTTAATTAGAATAACTTTTACGTGTTTTTGTAAATACATATGTAGAAGATTTAAAGGTAGCCATAAGTAAGAACATAAAAGACAAGTATGATTTCAGTTTAGCACTTGTATTAATATATAATGTAAATATGTAATACTTAATTATTTTTAACACACACTGATAAATGGACAGACCATTATAGAGGAATAAGTATTTAAGCGTACGAGTTTTCGTTCAACCGAGACGACAAATTTATAAAAAAAGTGAGACAGTGATTAGAAATATCATAACGCTCATTATTACAATCAGAGTAATCGTTATCAAGATGGCCACAAAAATCGTAATGGTGATGATTGTAATCATGTTGAATTTAATCGGTTTTAGCAATCTTGCAAATAAGCAGGCAGCATTCAATTTTTCCGCCTTTCCATTGTCCCTCCTTCAAAATTTACCAATACACACGTCAATTACTTCTTTGTGTAACTGCACTGCATATTCATAAAATTTCTATGCACTTTTCTTTCACACACGATATGTTTAATTTTTTAATAGTTAGTCTTTTTAAATTGTCAATTTTGAATTTTGGGCTTCTGTCTAGTTTTTGAAACATTTAGGCTGTTTGACAAAAAATACTACAAGTATATCACAAAAAGTGTATTGTGCTTGTTGAATGTCAAGTGCACCAAATGTGCTAATGATTATTGTGTATGTATTTTGTTGACAAAAATACATTTAGCTAATATATATAATATGCATGACTTAAAATTTTTTTCGAGATTTAAATTAGAATGTGATAACGCCTTCCTAACTCTTAAGTTATTATCAGTTGACCTTGCGCATAAATAGATACGTATATATTTACCTAAACACTTACATATGGACCACTTTATACTTCGTTTAAACATATGTATGGTATATTTCGAATACATAAGCGTATAATCCCTTTGTTTACCTGAGCAACTACCGAATTTAAAGTTAAATATCTCAACCTTGACATTTAAAAGCCGAAGGCAAAGGCTTTTAAGTAGAAAGTAATCCAAACTGGTTTAAATTATTTTCTTGTTAACTGTTAATTTTTTTTATTATCATACTTATATTGTTGGGTAAACCTTTAGGAATAGTAACACAAATTAAAAGTCAAAACGTACCACCATTTAAGCTTATTTATATATCTATCTATATATCTATAAATGATACAAGCGTTAATTCAAGCATTGTCTTATATATACTATTGTTAATATTATATAAATGGACTTTATAATAAAGTAGCAGCCGATAAAGAATACAAAATGTGCTTGTTTTTATGCACAGTATTTATTTCTAGAAAATTCACTAGGCATTTCCTTTCAATTCCTCCCCAAAGTCGCCGTTGGCCACAATATAAACAAAAAAGAAAAATTTAATTTTTTAATCTTTCTAAAGCAATATACTAATACATATCTATGAACAAATGTATGTATAAGCCAATGTATATAGTTAGAATAATATAAATAATGAATTCATATGTACACCATTCTGCACAATTACTACACTTACATTTTTTTGGACCAGGGGTCGGAGAGTGCGGTGGCAAGCACTTCATGCCTCGGTGCATACATTTTCAACAATTTATTTCAATATATTTTTTGCGTTGCAACTCACTGTTGCGCATTTGCTAAAAACTGAACCGAAAACCTATCGTTCCCTATTCTCGACGCTCGCTTGCCCGCATCGGCATTGTATCCAAATCTCTGCCGGCTGCATCTATTATTCGCTCCCGCATGCATGTGGATCCTCCTGCGCTACTCGTGCTGTTATAACCGAGCGTTTTGAAATTTTTGCTAAATTTTTTATATGTAGATTTAGACAAACACAAATAAAAACCTAATTCAATCGATATCGCTGATTTTCATAAACCGCCATATTGCCTCCCCTCCAGCGCACACCAAATTTCTTAATCCCCATGTTGTCGCCGCCTGCATTTGTCTTCCTTTTAACCATTTTTTTGTTTCTTTTAAAAATAAACGCTGATGCCGCTGCTATTGGGTTGCCAATACCGTGTATGCTGTTGCCGTTTTTACTGTCGATTAGTATAAACAACAAGTTGCTTTTCCAAATTTTTCGCAAACACAGACTGCAACAAAGGCAAATATACGAAATTTTTTTATTATTATTTTTACTCTTATATTGCATTTTCCTGCGCATGCGATGACGGTATTTAGTGGAGGTAGGAAAAGAAGACATGCAATCGCTAACAAAGCCTCTTGTTCTGTTTTTGTTCGTTTCATCGCCAACAGAACTTTGGCTATCAATATCGCTGTCAGTCGACGTCAGTTGTAGAGTTGTTGCTCCTAAGCAATATAACTTGCAAAAAATGCATCCATAAAAATTTTCCATTTCCCATTTTTAGTTGTTGGCAACAGTTCCTTCTCTATCGCCTGAAATGTCTAAAAATTAGCGGCACATGTTTTTATTCTCTTACACATGCTCATAAACATATATGTATTCAATACATACACACATGCATATGAACGTAAATGCATTTAGATGCATATATAATGATATATAGATATGTGTGCGCGGATGTACGTTTCAATATAAACACATTCGTAGCAGCTTAACCGACCAGCAGGGTACAACAGCAGCAAGTGCAAATATTAATTTTACACTTGGCCTTTAAAAATGAGAAGACGAGGCATGCAAATTTTGTGTGTTGCACCGCCAAAGAGGACGAATGCTGGGGCGGTGGGAGAGAGCGCACGTACAATGAGTGTTTATGTATGTAAGTCTGTATATACATATAAAAAAGAGTGCTTGTATATATGTACATATGTATATATGTGTTTGAGCAATTGGATTTCTGCAACGAGCGTACTTACATACGTACATATGTATATAGTAGTGGCGTAGAACCATTCGTATATATTTTCTTGGTTTTATTTGGATAATACAAATCACAAAAATGTCAAATACTAAGTTTAAATTAAAATTAAAATTTAATTTAATTTTTATAATAAATAGATGTTCAATAAAATAGAGGAGTAAATGTATTACAATTCTTAACAATTGTTGCAATTTTCTTATTGTTGGCGGTGTCTATTGATGGGTTTTCTTAACGGAAAAATTTTCGCAACACAAATACTAGCTGCATACTTGAGCTGAATTTTTACCGTTGTGTAGTAAATAGCAATTAATTAGGTTTCGCATATTGCAAATTTCCGCAAAGCAATGTTTTATTGTTCATATGTATGTATATATGTTTTTGTGAATCTATGTATGCGTTGAGACTTGAACACTTTAATATTTAAAAAAAAAACTACAGTGCACAAAACAATTTATTCCTTCTGGATTTGAGTGTTAGCTTTTCCTGCTTTATCGATTATTTAAGAGCCAGTCACAAATTACCTTTATAATTACTTCCACCACAAATTTTGTAAAAAGGTTGTCTAGATCACTAATAAACATAAATTGGTTTGCAATTATTAGCGCTTTAGTAGTTAATGTAATTTAGGACATAGTAAATCAGTTTCTATATTTCATATAATTAAGATTGCATTGAAAAAGTTTAATATTGCCGGGCTTAACCTACTGTCATTATCCCGAGTAGAATAATGAAGTAATTTAGATCACTCGTGAAAGATTTTTGAGAAATCAGTAGCTTTCTATTGTACTCACTAGGATTCTGTGTTGTGGGTATGACTATTGTCATCAAAAAGTAATTTCGCATGTTTGTGAATAAACAAATGTTACGCACGTATGCACAAACAGTAAATTTGTAGGTATGTTTGTCTAGATATTTTGGTGAAGAGTGACTTTAGCTAACTTTTAAACTTGCAGCTTTGTTTGACATTTAAAGTCAACTTTGAAGAAAACAATGTAGTTAACGTCTTTGCTTTCTATTCTACCTAAGGATGCATTGTCCTATTTTGTGTAACACATGTTATTGTTATTGAACTATAAAGATTTGACGATAAAAAGTTAATTATATCTACCTACAAAACATTGGTATCTTTTGAATTCGTTTTGCTGCAACACCTCTGAACAACCATATTCTACTGGTTATCGCGTTTTTAAGGTCATATGAAAATCTCTTGGCGGACTTAGGCGGATTAACCGTTTGAATGCTTTAATAAAACCCGCATTACGGAAATCGCTGCGGTGCTACCTGTAATACTCAAAATGCATTATTTTCTTTTGAACTTCTGATGCAAATAGAGCACGAGAATGCCTACTTGTTCAGAAACGCGTGTATGCATTTTAGATTTTTACCTGTATTTGGCTACAGATATTTAGAAAGGACCGGCGGTTCAAGGTATTTGCATATAAGCGGCGGATAAACATTTTCACAGTCAGTGTCAATGAGTTCTTACAAAAGTGCAGATCGCTGCCGAAACGGAAACCAACAACGTATTTGTTATTAGAAAGTACCGGAAAACGCAGAGATTTTGAACGTACGTAAATACCACTTAGCGATGAAGCCTCCATTTTTAACGGAACGCAAACCTCACCAATCACAATTCAGAACACATACAAAGCCAACTAAATCGTCCCTTTGGGAATACGTTAAAAAACATGAAAAACTATTTTTTATTGTTACATAAAAGATTATATATACATATATATAAATTTGTGCAACCCCCAAAAAAGTTATTTTACCCATCATTGTGAAACATCAAACATAAATAAAACGCTTATGTATTTAACTACTTTTGTAGGCACATACATAGATACATACTGACATATAAGCATGCATAAGCATAGTGTTGCAAACGATTACAAACATAAGCGGAATATACTGTTAACCCTCGACTACACCCCACTTAGGCTAACTACCAAAAACCCTCCCCTTAGGCTTCTGAACGCGTGCTAAAAATGGCAGTAAATTTCGATTTTTATTGCCTTTTTTGTCTTCCCATTTCTCACTTTTTGTGCGAACTCGTATTTGAGTCACAACGATGCGAAACTTGGATGCTGTTGACGATGCGAAAGTCACTGTCTGCCGCCGCACATGGCATGCGGAACGGGAGGGCTTACATAAAAATGAGTGGCATAATGGCGATGAGAACTATATTCCACCCTCCCAGCCCTAAAGAAAAGAGAACAAAAAGATTTAAATTGCTTTCTACTTGCAGGCAGTATTTAAGGGTGGCAAATATGGAAAAAGAGAAATAAAAAAATATAATAAAAAGAATGGAAATGAAAAATCAGCGCACGCGCAATAAGCGTGTCAAAGCTAAATTATTAATTTTCTCCTGTTTTGCGGACTTTTACTAAACACACTTGCCTTACGTTGCTTACAGATTACTAATTACATTTTCTTCTGTTTTTCATTACAGGCTGCATATTTCATACAGTAAGATTAAATGCACAGGGTGATATTTTGGTGACAATATGCAAAATTGGGACACCATGCAGGCTACATCGGCTAACTACGAACAACACAACGCATGGTACAACAGTATGTTTGCCAATACAAATATTAAAACGGAGCCAGGAACCACAAGTCCATCTTTGGAACAAGAGCTGAAGTCGCCAGAGTCTAATGTAGATGTTATTTCACACTTAGAAAATTATTTAAAACATAACCAACAAACTTCACATCAAATATCAGCTATGGATACGCTATCAGCGATGACGCCGTCCCCCAGCAACACAGACAGTATGCAACATCTATATGATGGAAGTCTGCAGCAACAGTTACTACAGCAGAAACATTATCAACAGCACTTTCAACAAGCTCAGCAAGCAGCCGCACACAATCAAGTTACGTCCTCGAATCTACCACTTGGTTTCAATCCACTTACGCCGCCCGGATTACCATCAGCGGTTATACCTTCCATATCCCAATATTATTGTCACCTGCCACAAAGTAATATTCGAACGGAACCTCAAACCCCTAGTCCTCTATCGCATCAAACACAAATGACAACACCAATGGACTCAAGTGAGAAATTGCAGACCGCATTAACACCACGTAATACACCACCAATGGATATTACGCCGCCTAAGTCGCCAAAACCTCAAAGTGCTGTTTGCGCCGAAACTATAAATTCGCTGGAAAAAGACCAGGATGTGCAATCCAATTCAAGTGATGATATGAAGTATGCAGGCGAATCAGGAGACGACGAATCAATTAGGTTCCCACTTTACAATTCGCATGGCAAAATGAAAAACTACAAGTGCAAGACCTGTGGTGCAATTTGGGTAACAAAAATTCAATTTTGGGATCATGTGCGAACACATATGAAACCCGACAAGATTCTACAATGTCCCAAATGCCCATTCGTAACGGAGCTAAAGCATCATCTCGAATATCATATACGTAAACACAAAAATCTGAAGCCCTTTCAATGTGATAAATGCTCGTATACCTGTGTTAATAAATCGATGTTGAATTCCCATCGTAAGTCGCACTCCTCCGTTTATCAGTATCGTTGTGCAGATTGCGATTATGCCACCAAATACTGTCATTCTTTTAAATTACATCTACGTAAATATGAACACAAGCCAGGTTTGGTGCTAGATGAAGAAGGTGTCCCGAATCCATCGGTTGTTATTGACGTGTATGGCACACGGCGCGGTCCTAAATCAAAGTCCACATCAGCTAGCAGCAAACGTAGTAATAATGCCAACAGTAGCAACGTCAATGAGCGCTTGACAGTAAAATCGCTGCAGAATCAAAAAAACAGCACCGATTTTAAATTGTCTGAAGCGCAGCTTTCGACAAGTCTACAATCATTCTCATTACCAACTCAACACCATCAGATGCCTGTGTCACCAGCAAAGAGTCCAATCTCAATATCTGAGCTATCTATATATTCACAAAGGTTATCTCAACAGCAGCAACAACCACAGCAGCTCTCTCAAAATATACAACGAATGCAAAATACACTTCAACAGCAGAAACCGAACCCGCCAAACGAAAATACTGAAACATCCTCTACTAATTCCGCTATTACGGATACAAATGCGTCTATGACAAATCTACTACCACCACTCGCTACGCTACTCCAACAGAATCCCAATATGGCATTCTTTCCCTACTGGAACTTAAACTTACAAATGTTAGCTGCCCAACAGCAAGCCGTGGTCCTAGCTCAAATGTCACCCAGCCGGCGAGAGAAAGCATTGCAGCAACTACAGACTGCTCACTCGAATAAAGATGTCTATGATTCGACTCATGATGAGGCTGATGAGGAGGAAGGAGACGACGTAGAAGATGAAGATGACCGAAAATCAACAGACTCAGCAATGGATCTATCACAAGGTTCACCAGTTAAAGATGACCCGGATAACCGGAAAACTCCCATCATTGCCTCTAATATAAGACTTCAAGACGAATCTAACAATACGCCAATTGTTAGCACCAATGGTGCTGCAAGACGGAAAGGACGAGTTCTGAAGCTCGATGCCTTTTTGCAAGTAAAGTCTACGTCACAATCGCCAGAAGAAAACGAAGAGAATACATTCAATCAAACAAATACCGATGCACTAGTATCTGCTGCCCCATCATCATTGCCGACCCCATTTTCCACTTCAACTGCTAAAGTGGAAGGAACGTCCAAAGAGTGTGATGAGCTTGTGCATAATACGTTGCTTACCGCTAAAGAAATCAACGCCAGTTCGACCGCCTCGTCGTCGGGAAATAGCTCAAATAGTTCTAGCACTTCTTCAACCGTAACGGCAAGTGAACGTGCGGCTACTGGCACTATATATGAGTGCAAATATTGTGATATTTACTTCAAAGATACCGTGATATACACCATTCACATGGGTTATCACAGCTGCGATGATGTTTTCAAATGCAACATGTGCGGCGAGAAGTGTGACGGTCCTGTCGGCCTCTTCGTTCATATGGCGCGAAACGCGCATTCATAAGTAGAATCGAGTATTCATTTCTTTGTTAGATAAAACTGGTTGCGCTGGTATAGAATTGTAAATAATATTGTAATTATAGGTTTAAAATTCGAATTGTAGATTTGAGTTAGTAAAATGTAAAGGGTTAAATAATTATAAGGCATATATTTCACACGACTAATTTAGCTATAGTAGGTTTACTCTAATTTATTTTATTTACAATAAATTATTATTTGTGTAAAATGTTTAAGAAAGAATAAATATAATTATAAAATAATTTATCAAATAATTAAATCATAGAAAATGGTTGCGTTCCTAAGTATTTGTGTATGTATGTACTAAAATAGTCCCAGAAACCAAATAAATTTTGTTGTCCAAAAATTAATTTATATGTATTTATTTGTTTACGTATATATGTGTAACAATTAGAAATATTTAGTTGATATTATATTACTTGTCAATCATGTAATGATTTATGTTCAATATTTATGCATATACTGACATGAACCATACATATGTATGTATTTAGGTATATATGGCATGAACAAATATCCAATCGTACGAACAAAATATATTTGTAACTAAAACACAGACTACATTTCTTAATAAAATTTGTCATTTACTTGAAGATACAAATTTGGCTCTCATTAATACTATCCATAGATAAAATTACAAAATTTTAATAAGTCGAACATCAGGATGGCAAAACATAGTTTTAAGACAACGCATTTCTGATATAGTATTAGGTGAAATCCTACATCTCAAAACTATTCGACCAATTTTAAACAAATTTGGTGCATAACATTACCTTTGTATTCCAATGTTATATTGTCAAAATGAGAATCAAATTTTTTTATTATTATGACAATTTGTGCTCTTGAGATTCGCTTGCCTTAATACCTCAGACATTGGTCATTCTAAGAGGTATCTTAATGAAATTGAGAGATAATATATTTCTGCTAATCATATGTCTTACTACCAAAACTGGATTAAATCGAGTTAATATATCCCCCAGCTCCCATAAGCCTTATATAAAAATTTCAACCTTCCGGTAAGCTTTATACTCGTATATTGGTCAGTATGTAAGATATTTTATCCAAATTCAGTGAACGTATAATATTGGAAATACTAAAGTTTAATGCCGAAAAAGTGTTTTACCCGCGATCCCATATACTACATAAAATAATTTACATTAGTCTATCACACTTTATGTCTAATTATGTGTTTTTAAATAACGTTTGTTGCAGTGAAGAAGCATTATATTTTTTACTTAATGAGAAAGAACATTTCCGCAAATGTGTGCGACGAACGCCCGTACTTCTATGGTACAAGTATATTAAAATTATGCGCAACTCTCCATTTCATTACTTACGGTAGTTATCAAAAATTCAGTGTAATTAATTTTTGTGTTGGGCTTGAGCAACCTCTATAGTTGTTAAGTAGGATTTAAATCTTATGAAACACCGTAATTGTGCGCATTGGTTTAAAACCTCGATATCGGCCCACTATAGCATTTGCCTGCCATACAAACTGAACAATCAAAATAAAGTTCTTTTATTTGTGAAGGGTATTATATACTTAAAATTATAATTCAGAATTGTTTAATACATTTTATTTACCCGTTTTCCATTTTCTATTACTATTACTACTACTATTTTTTCGTAATAAACTGCACTAATGTGTAGCAGTTGTAGTTTTTTGATATTATAGTCATCCGCACTGACACAATACTGAAAACTGTACTACTACAAAAAAGGTTAAAGTTCGACAATACTTAAACCGAAATTTGGCAATCCGGTATGATCGATAACAATTCAACTTTCAGTTCATTTGTAGGTTGAGTTGTTATCCTCTTTCATCGTTTTTGTTTTCGAGAATATATTGATGAAGAATGCAAAGTGGGTAAATAAAATTTTTCAAAAAAAAGTAATTCGTAACCAGCATTTTAGTACAAATGTATCAACAATCACATGAATATCTTTAAACTTCCATGAAAAAGGTGTGAGAACACTTGAAGTGCAATGTAATTACCATAAAATCTGTTTTCTAGACAATATTAAACTGCCGCCTTTTAGCCGAATATTAATACTTTATTTTAAATGTATTATTGTACATTAACATATAATGTTTATTTGACGAATCGAACACAGTTATTACTTCTTATCAATATTGCTTAATATATAACTATATATACATACGTATATACACAAATGCATATAATTTTGAATATAGTTTGTATTCGTAAATGGTATGCATGAGTCAATGCGATGTAATGTTGATATTTTGATATTTGCGGAGTCATGCATGTCATAACTTATTGTTGTAGAATTTCTTTGAACGTTCTACACGCTCCTTAAATACTTGTATACTATATATACATATACTCAAACGATAGGCGTTTTCTTTACGCACAAATGTCACATATGATGGAACTGCTTCCTTTGTCGCCTTTTTAATTGTATTTGCAATGAAAGATGATAGATATGCGTATGTGTTGCACTGAAAAGTGAAATAGTTCTCGGCCTGATGTCAAGATATTAATTCATTTGCCCATACCGGGGTGTTGCTATTTCTGTTTATTTAAAGGTTTTTTTTTGTAGAATTCGTCTTCGTCCTTTGAAAAGCTGCATCGGAATTGCGGTTGCGCACACGCTCCTAGAATACACACACATGTACAGAAACGCATGATGAATTCATTGTTTTCATGTTGCCCATAATTTGTATATTTGACTGAAATATGTATATACATATCAACACACACACACTCCCATATACAGTAATGTGTATTCAAATACATCATTTGGGCAACGAACAATCGCTTCACTGAGTTGTCTAAAAAGACGGATTCATCACGCACAATTAGCAAATGATGTTGCATATTACTATTATCGAATCCATTTTTAACGTTTTCTTTCTATTATATTCCTATTTGAAACGAATACTTAATGCGCTTACGAGAATTTCAATACTTCATTAGATGGCGCGCTTTTCGCGTTGACAGTTGGTGTCCGCCACATCAGATGTCTTGGTTAACCCATATTCTTGCCGATTCTACCAAGGAATTTTAAGCGTTGCATACACGCTTTAAATAAGAACCGGTATTTGCTTGAATTATCACTTAGTTAATTGAATTTGTTATAAAAAATCCGTTTAGCTAAATGCTTTTTGCAAACAACGCTCATACTCACACAAATGAGTACAGGTAAATGTGAGAAACGTTCCGTTAAGTCAAGCCAACTATAAAAAATTTGTTAACTTCACCATCACCCATCTGCTCAGTGATTGGCTCGGAACAATAGGCTCATTTGGCTGGCTGGCATTTGGCATGTGGCTGAAGTGCGCCTGAAGTGTTCCTTTATTCCACAGAATGACCGAATTCCCTGACCCCTACTTTACTTTAACAAACTGCAATAAATACGAATAGATGATAGGGACACTTTCATTCACATACAATTTTCTACATATATGTACATATAAATACTTATGACCATAAGACGCTCACACAAACGCACATGAATATGTAAACTCTATACAACAAATATAACGACAAAGGAGTCAACCACCAGCTTGCGACCTCAGGGAGCCAGCGGAAGGAAAATTGTAGAGAAGTTGATTGCGGAGATGGACATAGTTTTTATTTGCCGTCTTTTGCAGTTTCGGTTTGTTTTCTTCGTTTATCTCCGATTGTGGATTGTTTCTGAGGGATTTTCTTACTTTCCATTGTTCACACTCGTAATATGTAAGATAAAAAGAGCCAATTTTTTGTACCCATTTAAAAAAAAAACCAATAGTCGCAACAAAAATACGAGTACATACATCGGAAACGTAAGCATAACAAAGAAATCAACAAAAAAAAGTAGTTGGATAATATGAAAAGGTGTAATTTTGGTTTTGTTACTTGCACATTTATGGTCTATTTATAATTTCGCAGTGTATATGGCATCTAGGTATTTTGTGAGGAAGGAAACATCGGCTTGTATCAGCTGCATTATAATTTATGGATAAAGTTAACATCCTAATTTTGTGGTCAATGAAAACTAAAGCCAAAACGTTTGTCTATTTTCATTTTAAATATTGGAATATAGTAGTTTGTATATATATACTTACACATACATACGGTATACATATACATATGTATAAAACTTATATCCAAATCGATTTACAATTCTGTTCTTAATTTAAATTTAAATTAAAATAATCAATTAAAATTTAATATTTAATTACTCGCCATTTATTTGTGAGCCTTACTCTCTAAAAATATACTGACTCAAGTTTAAACTAATTGATAAATGTGATTAATTTCTATTATGTCAAAATTGCTGTATTTTGCTCATTAAGGTTTTTACTATGATCCATATATCAATTAGTACGGAAGTGGTTGAGGATTAAGTAGTACCTGGACGTATACATAAGTAAAAATAATTGCAATAACATACTTACATATGTGCATATATAAAATGCATTCTGACATATGGATCAATTGCAATATTAGAATCTAGAAATAAAGAAGATTCGATAGTTAGAGTGGTCTATTACTAGTAGGGAAAGTCGTTTATTATGACGCGATAACGGTCGTCATTGACGGTTACGTTCTCACCGGCATCATTTTAGAAGAAATATGGACCGATGATTCCACCGGCGCACAAACCATGCGCCAAGTCGTTTTATATTGCAGTCCGAGTTGCTGCGAACGGCGCCGAATCGACTCTCCACGGTCTTCGTACACACTGTCAGCTACGGCCGCTATATTTACTTCACTGCGTGCTGGACGTGGTTTATTCGGTCGAATATTATCCAATAATGAATGCTGAGTCTCAAGATGGGTGATGGTGTTGCGAATAGTACGTTCAGTAAGCCGATTATATTGACCATAAGTTGAGTGAAGCGCGCGAAACACATTCTTTACAGAAAAGGAAATTACGTAATAAAGTTGAACAATTTGAAAACGTGTTCAGGCATTCTATGATATAAAAAGATATATAAATAATATAAATGACAAAAATAACATGACAACTTGACACGATTCATGCTTAATCTATCAAAAAATGGCTATTGAAAAAGGTTCATCTACTTAGATCACCCGTTATATGAAGTTCAACCAAATCAGCTTACTATCTTGCTTTTTTTTTTAACTAACTATATATTTTATATTACTGGGTCCTGCAAGACATTAACCGACTAATATCAGTTGAAAATAAAGAAAAAGAAAAGAAAAGCCTGGTTGTGTTAAGGACTAAATCATTAATCTTCAGAATAGTTAGATTGCCAGCAATGAAAATATGATTGAAAAATTGGTCCAAAAGAAAAAATAATGGGTACAATAAACTTCTTTTATGATCTGTCTTAATATTAAACGAAAAATTTAAATTTCAGCACCCTTTACTCAAAATCTGTGTAGTATACGTATGAATTTTTATAGTATGTATGTAAAAATGTATATATCTTAGATGTATGTCTAAGTAAACATATATGTACATAAGAGTACGTAAATGTATAAATGCGGATAAAATCTAAAAATATTCCTCACCGCGGTGAACAGCAGGCTGCTATGTACCACACCAACATTAACTAAATATCGGGGGATGGAAGCGTTACAAGATTCTGCATCATGTCGCGTGGAGAAACGTCCGCCAAAA